ATTTATTGCAATAAAATAAATCAATCATAGAGCGGTACAAATACAACATTTGTAGCCTTTAAAACTTAAAAACATTCAATCATTTTACCCGGTTGATCATATGATCATCAGATCAATATCGTGAATTTAACAATTTTCCTATCATTTGTTTAAAAAATGTTTTTTTTTTTCTAAAAATAACTTTTTTTTTGTAAATTTTAGATTTTTTATGTTTATTTTAAAAAGAATATTGTATGATAATATAAAGAAATATAATATGATAATAGTAAGATAATACTTTGTCACAAAACTAGTATATTAAGATTATATTAAAAAAAATAAGGACTAAATTGTTAATGGGTTCAAAATATATGGACTTTTCAAAATACAAAAAATACTTATATTTTATTATTCGACTGGGTAAAATGATCAAATTGCAAACAACTGTCAGTTTTTATGACTTAATTGATTAAAAAAGGAAAAAAAGACTAAATTGTTAATTATATCAAAACATAAGGACTTTTCAATAGATTTTATTTTTTCTTTGTCTTAATTTATTTTTTTTATCAATATACTTCTCTAATCACCTTTTTCCTTCGAATAAATGGTCTACAATCTACACTAGCACAATCACCATCATCGACATTATAAAGTTTTTCATGAAATAAAAACACAAATGCAAAATAAACCCTAAAACAATAATATCGTAATATTAAGACATGATAAACATACTTTGTTCGTATTTTGTTCTTAAAAAGCTTGAGGAAATTATTTTTTCCCGTCTAACAAATTGTATTTATCTTATGGTATTTGTTTCGTTTGACATAAAATATGTTTTATGAAAATAGTTTTTTTTTCTTCTAAAAATAATCATTTTAATAATATTTATGTCTAACGGGTTGTATTATCTTACATTAATTTTATGATATTTTTTTTATCTGACAAAGAATATTTATTATGAATTTTTTTATTATAAAAATAATTATTTTATAATATTTTTGTCTAACATATTGGATTATCTTATATTAATCTTTTGGTATTTGTTGGGTTATGCACAATCTAAAAGCCATAAAAGCACAAACAAAGAAAACATACAAATCAGAAACATAAACCCAATAGCTACATCCATGTTCATCCTATCTATTGCAACAAAATAAATCAATGATATAAATGTTACAAATACAATATTTGTAGCCTTTAAAACTTAAAAGACCTTCAATCATTTTACCCGGTTGATCATATGATCATAAGAACAAGATGGTGAATTTAACAATTTTCATATCATTTGTTTAGAAAATGTTTTTTTTTTCTAAAAATAACTTTTTTTTTTTTTTTGTAATTTTTAGATTTGTTATGTTTATTTTAAAAAGAATATTGTATGATAATATAAAGAAATATAATATGATAATAGTAAGACAATACTTTGTCACAAAACTAGTATATTAAGATTATATTAAAAAAAATAAGGATTAAATTGCTAATGGGTTCAAAATATAAGGACTTTTCAAAATACAAAAAAATACTTATATTTTATTATTCGATCAGGTAAAATGAACAAATTGCAAACAACTGTCAGTTTTTATGACTTAATTGACTAAAAAAGAAATAAAGACTAAATTGTTAATTATATCAAAACATAAGGACTTTTCAATAGATTTTATTTTTTCTTTGTCTTAATTCATTTTTTTTTATCAATATACTTCTCTAATCACCTTTTTCCTTCGAATAAATGGTCTACAATCTACACTAGCACAATCACCATCATCTACATTATAAAGTTTTTCATGAAATAAAAACACAAATGCAAAATAAACCCTAAAACAATAAAATCGTAATATTAAGACATGATAAACATATTTTGTTCGTATTTTGTTCTTAAAAAGCTTGAGAAAATTATTACAAGTCGTTGAAGTGAATGAAGAAATGAAGTTTGATGATTTGAGAAAATTGATTTTCTTGTGTAATGCATTTTTAAGCAGTGTAAAGCCTTTTTTTTTTATTTTTTATTTTATTTTAACCTTTTCTATTGTTTCATTTCCTTGTGAGCATAACTACTTAAACAAATAAATAATATTTGGCAAGTAAACATTGAAATCGTTTTAATGTTATTAGCTCGTGTCATTTTGTTTGCAAAATGATTGCGTTGTTGATTTCAAAGTATGAATCATCATTTTCCCTAATAAAAGATATATATATATATATATATATATATATATATATATATATATATATATATATATATATATATATATATATATATATATATATATATATATATATATATATATATATATTTTATATATATATTATGATATTTTATGGTAAATTTAGATTAAACTATATTTATGTATCATTTTTTTTTCATTTTATTAAATTTCATATAATATTTAAATATAATAAATGTATATCTAATTTATTAAATTTCAAAATTGAATCAAATTATTTTGGTTGTTTATTTATTTAAATTTAAAAGATAAATAAATACTTCAATTTTAATAATTAAATATTTTTTTCATATAAATTTAAATCTTCTAAATTATTAGATCTTCATGTTTGTTTGTTTTTCTGAATAAACTTATATAATACATAAATCATAGTTGTCAAAATCGCGATCCTGATCGTAGGATCGTATGATCCTATGATCCTAGGTATGAAAAACGATCCGGATCGTAAAAGGATCGTATTTGGGGTAGGATCGCAGGTAAGATCGTAAGATCGTAGGTAGGATCGTAGGATCGAGATCCGATCCGATCCTACCTTCCTTTGATTTTTTTTTTTTTTTTTACAAATGAATTTTTTTTACCACTTTATGTCTTTTACCCTTTACCAATCTACCATTTATCATTTTTTATTGTGACTTATGACTAATATTTTGAAGTTTTTATAACTTTTGAATGAAAAACTAAATGTTTGAAATAGTTTTTATGATTAAATATTATAAATTAAAATTATATTCTATTTTGTGGGATCTTAGGATCTCGATCCCGATCTTACGATCCCGATCTTGCAAACCCAAAATCGATCTTAGGTAGGATCCCGATCTTGACAACCTTGACATAAATCTCATAACTAGTAAAATAATAATAATAAAATAATAATTGTTCTCGATATATAATGTATAACTTGTAATATATATATTTTAAACGTGACATGAAATAAAACATCTAACACATTTTTTTTTTCTGTTTTTGAAAAACCTACGGATGACTGACTATACGTAAGCTTATACATAATAACCACATATTTATTTTTCTATTTTAATTAAAACTACGTCGTTTAATGGATTCTATATGTAAACTTATACATAACAACCACATTTTTGCCATATATATATATATATATATATATATATATATATATATATATATATATATATATATATATATATATATATATATAAAAGTAGAAAGATCTCTTAGCCGTGTAAGACTTATAACATTAATTATCTTTCTAGCATGCACCATGGGGTTACCAAAATAGTTTTGGTTCACTAACTTGTATGCGTGACTGCACCAACGGTAGACCATAAATATCATAGAACATTTACAGGAATTTCACATTTTCATAACTGATCCTTACTACGAGGTAACCAAAGTCTCTAAATTCAATACACAACCTAAGTGGTCCATCTATTTCTTTAAGAAAATACACGGTGCTCCCAATGAAACTATTTGCCATACTAAGTTCTATGTCCAACAGTTCCTATGATGAAATGACAACTCATGTATCATTGAAGACATAAACCCATTTAGCTACTCGAGTTATACTCGCGATCTGATCGACTCTTGAATTTTCTCTAATGCTTGGAGGGAAATCTGACAAATCCTTGAGGAACAGAACTATAAAACTTTGTAACCATGAACACTCTAACGGTATACTACTTTCCCTCCTTTCACACAATAATAAGCTTGAACCACTAATCTTGCATACTCGAATTGCTGATTTGTCTGACCCATGATGCTAAAACCAAAAGTCGAACTATCTTTTGAACCCCTAATTTAAATACTCAATTTTCCTCAATTAGGGGTCGAATTTCCATCGGTCGTCGCCCATAACCGTTAGATACCCGAACCGGACCAACCAAAACATACCGTACTTAATTCTTTGTTGGTGATTTTAGTGTAACCAGACATTATGGATAATTGGAACTAACATGTGAGGGGCTTATAGTTTGTATTATAAATTATATGTTTGTTGAGTGCGAAGTGAATGTATATATACAATCGAATTATAAGTCGATGTGACAGATAAGCGGGGTTGTGCCCCCTTGTAGGGTCCTAGGGGCAGTACCCCTAGCAGGTCTAAGGGGTAAAGCCCCTGACAGTGGTTATGGTAAAACTGACAAATCACGTCAATTTTGAAAACCATTGATTATGCCATTGAATTCAATATTCACTTAACTAATTTAGAATCTTAGACTCTAATTTGTCATGCATATATACGACTCATCTTTTGAGCTGAAAACAAAACCCTTTTTCTCAACTCTTCTTATTCTAAACGAAAACAGAATTCTCTGACGATTTGACTTGTGTTTCTGTGCCTAGATACATAAGTATCTTTTTGGATTATCTTAGACTGAATTTCCCGTAACCCAACCATATAGTGGAAATATCAGTTCGAAAAAATGAACATACACGATCCAATCCAAGTTCCTCCATCACCCTACTAATATTCCCCCAACATTTTCAAAATTTGATCCCAACTTTTTAACCGGTAATCAAATATTTGTTGAAATAAAAATAAAAAGCTTATAAATTTTAGTCAATATCATTTTTATGAAAAGTTATTAATCTAAAAATAAATAAATTTCAAGTAAAATTTGATAAAATGTTTTGTTTTTCTTATAGCAAATCCTGAAAAAATAAATAATTTTCACCTAAATTATGATATTTTTGTTCATAGCAAATCAAAACAAAACTATTTTTTGTTACTTTTAGGAAAGAGAGTAACGTGGGTCACCATGTATCATCAATCACAACGGGCCGCGAACATTGCTTTTTTGCACTTTGCAGGTGGGGGAAATGGCGTCTATAACAGCAGTCGCCCGACTTGTCCATATAAACCCATCTTCAAAATTAAACCCCAGTTTAATTTCAGCTACCAAACCACTTTTCCCTTTCTTCTCACTCAAATCTTCGTATTACCCAATCGTATCATCATCCGCTGCTTCACTTACTTCTTCAAGAGCAATGTCTTACGATAAACAGCTCATTGCTGCCAAGAAAGCCGCTTCCCTTGCTTCTCTCCTATGCCAGGCATCTTTCTCTATCTATCTCAGTTACTTAATCGCGAGAAAACTTGTCGAGATGATTGTTTCGGAACTTGTTTGTTCGAATTGATGATTGTTGTTTGTAATTGAGTCGTATCCTGAAAAGATATTGTGCTTTTTAGTGGAGCCTCTGTGAGTATTCTATCAAAGTGTTCATATTGTTGGCTTTGAGTGTTGCAGATGTATAACAGATCTGTGATGATTGATTTGATGATTCAATCGTACCCAGAAGAGAAATTAGGCTTTTAGTTGAATTTCTGTGAATTGGCTTCACATTCTTTAGTTTGTTTGTTTTGGTGCTACAATTATGTTCGCCAAATCTCTGATGAATTTCACTTATAATTCAATAATATCTCTATAAAAATAATTGAAAACCCTAATGCATTGTTGAGATAAGTTGAGTCTAAATCTTTTATTTCTTTAGTGTGTGAAGGTTAACTGATTACTGATACGTGTTTTGTAGAATGTGCAAAAAGGACTTTTGCTATCTGATGTCCAATCAAAATCTGATAAAAGTCCTGTCACTGTGGCTGATTATGGTATGTCTCTTGATCTTTTTACGCTTTCATTTATCTAGACAGAGGCCATACATGTAGAAGGAAATTACTTATATACCCATGGTCAAGAAATGTGATTGCTTAAAGACTCTAATATGCTCTAATCTGATTATCAGGGTCCCAAGTTCTAGTGAGCTTTGTTCTTCAACAAGAACTTCCTTCACAAGCATTCTCACTAGTGGCTGAGGAAGTAATTTTCAACCTTATTTGTTTCAGTTTGATTTACATTTTTCATTTTTTTTTCTCTATAAATACAAGTCAATGGGATTGGTTGTTGATTGTTTTAGGATTCTGGAGATCTTAGAAAAGAAGATTCTCAAGAAACCCTTCAACGTATCACGAAGCTAGTGAATGATACTATAGCTAGTGATGGAACTTATAAAGTGTCCCCTTTATCTGAATCCGATGTGCTTACTATCATAGATTGTGGTACATCTGAAGGAGGGTCAAATGGTCAACATTGGGTTTTGGATCCTATTGATGGTACTAAAGGGTAAGCTGCTTTTTTCCTTTTGACTTAATAGGGACATGACTTATAGCATCTTACTCTCATTTCTTTCTATTACAACATTCTCCTTTCAAAAATTTATCCACTTATAGCAGTGTCATCCAAATACAAAGCAATTTTCTATACTATAAGAGTAAATTACACGAATGGTCCCTATGGTTTAGGGTAATATGCGTGTTTGGTCCCTAACTTATTTTTTAACTCAGAAGGTCTCTATTGTTTGTTTTTGTTACGCGCTTGGTCCCTATCTTACCTAAAAAGACTATTTTGCCCTTGATTTTTTTTAATTTATTTAGATAAACACACCCTCAACCCCATCCCCTCACCTTACCTTACATACCCCACCATTTTCCCCTATTTAAATAATGATCTTTTGAGGTAAGACAAGGACCAAACGCGTAACAAAAACAAACAGTAGGGACCAACCGTGTAACAAAAACAAATAGTAGGGACCATCCGAGTTAAAAAAATAAGTTAGGGACCAAACGTTCAAATTACCCCAAACCATAGGGACCATTCGTGTAATTTACTCATACTATAATTGGTAAAATTTTGAAATACAATGGCTCAATAAGAAAAAATAAATGAATAGAAGAAAAAGTGGAAGTGCGATGCTATAATAAACAAATAAAGGAAAGTACATTGCTATTTCTTGCATTTAGCTTTTTTTTTTTTTTTTTTTTTTTTTTTTTTTCAAATGGCTAAAGTTTTTTCAACTGGTTTGGATGCAGTTTTCTAAGGGGTGACCAATATGCAATAGCATTAGGTCTACTAGATGAAGGGAAAGTTGTGTTAGGTGTCCTTGCATGTCCAAATCTTCCATTAGAATCCATTAACAACAAAAATCAAAATACATTCAGTAAATCGGGATGTTTGTTCTATGCACAATTATCTTGTGGGACATACATGGAGTCGTTAGCTGGTTCGCCACCTGTCAAGGTACAAAAAAAAAAAAAACTTAATATCTTATGCATGCATCCGATAAACTCTTTCTTTTTTACTTATTGGAGACAAAACTTATGAGTGTTTCATATTGACTTAATGCAAAAACAATGATTAAATAGAGAAAGTCAGCCTACATTTTTTATAAATTTGCCCTTGTAACCTGAGTATTTTGTTTACCCTTTAGGTGCATGTTAGCGACACAAAAAATTCTGAAGAAGCTTCCTTCTTTGAATCATATGAAGCTGCTCATTCGTCTCATAGTTTATCTGGTTCTATAGCAAAGGTAAGTTTGTTTATTTGAAAAGGGGATAAATTATTAGTTTTCCCCTCTTACTAAAGTGTAAAATATTATATTTGAGCAAATTGCATGAAATAGCAATGTACTTTACTCTTTATTACCAATCAATATAAACTCTTTACACTTACTAGCAACATGCTTACATTTTTTTTTTTTTGCAGAAAAGTCCTATTATTTTGGGAAATTTTATTGATAAAGTCCTAAATCTTTTTATTTTTGAACAGAAAAGTCTCATTATTTTGGGAAAATACAAAAAAGGACTTTTTGTTAATTTTGGCAAAATGTTAAATAATCAGGAAACTTGTAAAATGTAACTATTATACTCATAATAACACCATACTTACATTTGTGTCTTGATAATAGCTGCAATGTGTAACAAATACATATTTTGAGACTAATAAAATGATTATTATTTTATTTTATTTTGTAGAAATTGGGTGTTAAAGCGCCACCTGTCAGAATTGACAGCCAGGCAAAATATGGAGCTTTATCAAGAGGAGACGGTGCGATATATTTACGGTTTCCAAATAAAGGATACCGTGAGAAGATATGGGACCATGCTGCTGGATACATTGTTGTTGCAGGTAAAAAAAAAATTCACTTCTTTCAATTTTTATTTTATCTTTTCATATATATATATATATATATATATATATATATATATATATATATATATATATATATATATATTTTACTTTGATATTATGATACCCAAAATAGCAATTGCTATAATTTTGTTTTTGGATGAGTTTATTGCAGAAGCGGGTGGTGTTGCCTCGGATGCTTCCGGAAAGCCTTTAGACTTTTCAAAAGGAAGGTATCTTGATCTGGACACAGGTATCATTGTTACCAATCGCAAACTTATGCCAGCTGTCTTGAAAGCAGTTCAAGATTCACTCAAGGAGCAAGCTTTGCCATCACTGTAAATTTTAAAAAGTTTTCGGGTGTTGTGCATTATCTCAGTTTCTAAAACATCTTCTTGATTGTATTTTACTATTTTTAATAAAGATAAAGATGGGATTATGTTTTAGTTTTTCAGGGGATGAATATTATTACAAAAATAATTCTTGTTTCCTTGCAATGTGAAATGTGAATCATCAATAACTACAATCATCTTAATACTTTTTCTTCTCTTTCACCCCATCTTCTTGTCCCAAATTAGATCTTAGCAGACATGACTATTAAATTTCTGTCATGAAAATGTGTCGTTGTTGATTCAGTTGGTGCTAAGCTTTCATGCACATGGCTTGTTGCTAAAAGAGTTTTTCAGTCATCTGTGGCAAATATCATTGTTAGTGTGTAGAAATAACAAAATTGTATGTGTGTATGTAGGGATGGCAAAAAAACCCGAACCCGACGGGGAAACCCGAAACCCGATCATTTCGGGTCGGGTAACGGGTCGTTATCGGGTTTTTTATCGGGTTCGGGGCAGGGAGTGGGTTATCCTCGCCCCGTCCCGCCCCGCCCCGATTATATATATATATATATATATATATATATATATATATATATATATATATATATAATATGTTCAAAAAATTTTGCTGTTAATTGTACACGTTCAAATATAAAATACTTATCGTGTGGACAATTCTTTAGTTATTAACAATCTGGTGTTAATGATCATTTTTATGTGTTTTGACGTATTAAACAAAACTTAAATCAAATAATTTTTTATATAACGTCCAGTTTATTTTATTAAAGTGATGCATCATGTTTTTAATTTAAAAGAGTTGCTAAAACATGTATATTTTATAAAATATTGGGGTACCCTAAAAGAGAATAAAGATTTCGTTATCAGTTGTTGTAAACCCGATAAGATACCCGAAACCCGACGGAGAAACCCGAAACCCAATGGGGCGCTCTGATAAGATACCCGAAAGTTATCGGGGCGGGTTTGGAAATCCATGCCACGCCCCGAACCCGCCCCATTGCCATTCCTATGTGTATGTATTGTTGAGTACTTTATAACTATATGGAGTTTTTTTATAACTATATGGAGTTTTTAGTCCCAAGAAGAAACTTTTGGGCTTAGCAGGCCCAAAATAGTAAAATCTAGCTTTATATAATTCTAATCCTTTATTTATTTTTATTTTTTTCAGAGTCTTGTATATGTTTGATATATACTAACATATATTTATTTGTATTATGTATGTGTGTATTTGAAAAAAAGTAAGAAAGAGAAAATTGTATCCTAGGCGGCCCAGTTATACCCGTCCCAAGTCATAATGCATGGGGTAAATCTCAGAGCACTAGCAATATTTTAGACTTGTCAAATTTTCAACCGGAAACTTCTTTTATGTAATTTATCACCTTAACCGGTAGGCTTTCTATGTAATCTAAAAAATGTATATTTTATTGAATACAATTAAAGTTTTTATACCAATTCATTTCAACCTTGGTATCAGAGCATTACTAGCTCCCCTGAGCCCTAATCGATCCAAAACCTAATCACCCACTCTTCATCACCATGCCTTCCGTCATTGAAGTCACAACACAAACCAACTTCCCCATCAAACTTACAACCATAAAATGTCAAGTATAGAGAAAACGAGTCATGGCTACTTTGATAAGCTTAGGTCTCAACAATTATGTTGACGGATTGGAAGAAGCTCCATCAAAGGTCTTATCCACTGATGCCACCAAGCCCATTTTGACATATTGATCAAGGTACCACTAAGATCATATCCTACTTGGACTCTTGCATGGAAGCAGCTCAGATACACTCCAACCAATAGGCTGTGGGTCCGAACCACCTTTGAACGAAGACCTTCACTTGATGAAATTTACCTATTTTCGCATTTTTGTTCTGTGGGTCGTTGTCTTGGTTCGCTTTGTGATCGTATTTTTGCTCTTGAAGACTTTTTTCAGGTCAAGTAATTTGGTTCATCGTGATGTGATCCCATTTATGACACTATAGAATAAGCTGCGTTTATTGGCTTATTTTGTGGTTTGTGCGAACTTTTGTGTTTCCAAGGCAATGAATCTATCCTTATGATTCTTAATATAACAATTTATGATTTATGCTTCGTAAACATGTTAGTTTTTGTATTTCTTGCATATACTTTGTGATATATAGTTCAAAACCTTGAGACTTGTTACAAATCTCGAGCTCTTGAACCAATGCATTGAGTTCATAGCGTTAAGCACATAAATCATAACATTCATGTATAAACAAGCAATTATACTAAATTTTCACAAGACCTTGACTTGTATCCTCCCCCAAAACCATGAAAACATCAAAAAGAGGGGTATGAAGCTCACCTTGGTTTGATTTGGTTATATGATGAGGAGTTCAAGTCCTAACATTTGAAGAGTTTGATAACTCTTTGAAACTTAGTATCTCCTAGAAACATCACCACATAATATCTTGTGTAACTATGATGAAATAAACAAAATAACATAGAGAATAACTAATCCCAAAACATGAACTACTTACTAGAATGTTGAGAGTGCTTAGAAGAATTTAAGCTTGAAGCTTGAATCCAAATGAGAGCAAGTTACAAGTTCACAGAAAGGTGAATATGATAAATGGAATGCAATGAGGAGTTTACAGAGAGTGACTTGTGTTTTGGTGGACTAAGAGATGGGGTTTACGCTCAAAGAGGATAAGGGGTTGATAAGGTGTGCTTGGTTACCTTGAGGATATTGTGTGTTTACCCTTGAACACCTTGAAAACAGTTGAAATGTTGCATCATAAAGTCAAAGGCATTTGTCTTGTTCTCATCTTATGGCCTTAAACTCCATGGAATGGAGTTGTTTACAGCTTAAAAGCCTCTTAGGTTTGAGTTCACGCCCTAGATGCCTTCCAGAAGAGTGTTCACGGTCTAGATACTTCCTAGGGAAGTGTTAATGGTCAAGGTTTGGAAACCTAAAGTGTTTACGCCATAGTATCCTATCTTAAAGGAGTTTACACTCAAAACACCACTTAGGTGTGGGTTTATGACCTGACTTTGCTTTATTAGGTTGTTTACGGCCTAAGGTGGGGTTTCTAAGGTGGTTCACGGCCAAGACCTCCCCTTGGGTAGTGTTCACGGCCAAACATGTCCATGAAGAAGAGTTTATGGTCTAGATGTGTAAGATCCTTAATATGTTTGTTTATGTGATCATATTTGACGTAAATTCAACATTACCTCAATTTGCATGGCTCATAGGAGTTTTAGGGTAGCATAAACCTCAAAAAAATTACAAACCAAGATATAATATTAGCATAGCTACAACTATCTCATGTACGAGACTCTTTTGGCTTGGTTTTCTAGACATGGAAATTTCCAGTTGTGACATCATCCCCCCCGTTAGAGGGAGTTTCGTCCCGAAATTATTTGAAAGTTATTCTTGCGGACTAGCAAAAATGGTGAGGGTACCTTTGCTTCATTTGATTTCTCGCGTTCCCACGTGATTTCAGGTCTGGGCTTGGCATTCCATTTAACCTTCACAGTGGGGATGCGGCTTTGTTTCATATGCTTAGCTTTTCTACCTATAATTTCGATAAGCTGTTGAACGAATAGAAGGTTCTCGCTATGGTTGGTGTTGTGCTCTGACTTGAACTATCCTTTCCATTGTTTGTTGAACAATCTTGGGTCTAGTGAGTGTACTATTGGGCGCTTGTCCTGTAACATCCATAAAATTTACACCAAATTTAAACTTTTTAATCATAAATAAAAACCAGCAAATGATTGTTTACAAAATATTTTCAGATCATTATCCATCAGAGTGTCCCAAAATCATAGCATAAGGATAAGGAGCGATACGGTCATGCCTTCGCCTTGACATGGTCTCCTGAAGTACCTGAAACAATAAACTGAAAACTGTAAGCCCGGCGGCTTAGTGAGCTACCCCCAAAATACCAATACCACACTGATAGTAACCATATCAATAATGATCAATCAATCAACATGCATACTGGGCCATCGGCTTGACTGGTCCGCCCTACTGGGCCTACAGTCTATCTGGATCTATCCTGAGCCTTCGGCATGACTAGTCCGCCATGTGGGCCTACAGTCTCCCCGGGCCGCTCATAGGGTATGTTGGCCTTCAGCACGAAGCAGGACCGCCTCAACCCAACCAACAAGCAATAACCATGTGTGCATAACTATCATATACATGCATATACAAACATCAAGCATATCTATCTTACCGATCATCAATCATGGAATTCTCTAGAACACTGACCTAGGACGTCACTAACATACCAATCCCTACGGATCATAAAAGCATAACATACTGTGTATCCTGATTCTAATCAAGCAGATCATAATCACATGTATAATACCATAACTATAACAACTAAAGGATCGGCCTTGGTGCCGTAGACCCTATCGATATAGTGAGGATAACTCACCTCACATATGTCGACTCAGAAGGTAAACTCCAACTCTCGGATCAATCGACACAGGCTCCACCACCTATGTGTTGGGTTTTGAGCAATCTAACACTTCCTAAGTGTGCATGCAACCCTAATAAACCTTGGATCTATGTTTGTCTAAATACATGCAAAATAATAATTTTCCAAGGTTTATAACCTATCTAACATGGCATGGGGAACATTTCAACATAAAAGAGTTAGAAGAGATTACATACCTTTTGGTGAGTTTGGTTCTAAGGAGTTTGAGGGCCAAGCACCAATAGTGTGAATGCCTCAAATGGAATCACAAACACCACAAACTCTTGGAAAACTTTGAGAGAGTATACACCTTGTATAAAATCGGCCACACACATGCACACACACTAGTTCACTAGTTTTCTCTTAGGCTCCATTTCATGCTCCATAAGCATGCTTATATAGTGTGCATGGTTAGGGTGAAACCCTAATAACCCATGTCTTTTCCTTTCCAAGGATCCATGGGTTAAAAGCTCCATGGATCATCCATGGACTTCCACATAAGCCTAGCCCATTAACAAATGAGTATTAGCCCACACTATATAAAACAAATAGCCCATAATTTAATTAGTATTCCTTTTAATCTCTAAATTAATTCATAATTAATTTAAGACTAAAACTAATTAAATAACGTAACTTCATATTAATATATTATAACTCATAATATATTAATAAACATATGTGTATAACTCTCATAAAATTATCCATAATAGTTTGGATGAGATGCAACCCAAATGGACCATGCCGGTCGGGTCAAGTATATACCAAATAAGTTATGGACTTAGACAC